TGAATTGAGTTCATTTTCCCTTGCTGGTTAACTTTTAAACCAGCACAGCATCTCTGCTTCGTAAGAGGCAGGTGCACAGGTGCTGGCTGTGGGAGGCTGAAGAGGCACCTCTGTGAGGAGAGGCTGCCAGGAGGAGGAGCTGCTCCATGGTGAAGCAGATAGCCACACCACAGATCCACAGTGGAGCAGATATCCACAGACAGTGCAGACTGTGGAGGACCCCATGTCACAGCAAAGAGGTATTTCTGAGGGACCTGCAGCTTCTGAATAGCTGATATCAGAGCAGAGGAAAACTGAGAAGGAAGAAGCAGCAGAGAGGAACTGCTGAGTAGTGACCACAGCCCATAACTCCCTCACCCTGCCTTGGGAGTATAGAAGAGTGAAGCTACACCTGAGAAAAGACAGGCATTTTAATGTTTGTGTTATTTGTGTTTCTCACTACTTAGATCTATTTTAATTGACAACAAATTAGGTTAATTTTCCCAAGTAAAGTGCGTTTTGTGTATGATGCTAACAGGTAAAAAAATCTTCCTATCTTTATCTCCAACCCATGAGATTGATTTCTACTGTTTCTTCTGTTTTCCTCTCCTGTCCCTCCAGGGTGAGTGAGCAGCTGGGTGAGAGTTTATCTGCTTCTTAATGGTAACCCACAACAATAGTGAAAGCTGCCAAGAATAGTAGCCAGATATATAAGTCTAATGCAATTTCTCTACTTAGGTTTGAGTCAAACATTTCTCAATTACCATTTTAGCTTCCTTTTCTGAAAGAAGACAAAATATACTGTATATAGTATATATATATAGTATATATATATGTGTATATAGTATATATATATATGTATATAGTATATATATAGTATATATATACTATATATTTCTTGTTCTGTAGATTTTACAATGTCTGAAGTAGGATGTGCTAAAAAGAACTCCACATTTTATAAAAACAAGAAGATTTTATACTTCTGATTCTTGAGTTTATATTCTCACATGAGTCTCTATAAAGAAATTCAGACTATTTTGGTCCCTCTGACATTTTTGTATGTTCACTCTAACTATTCTGCGAATATTGTTCTCTGCAAGATCCAGCTAAAAAAATCTAATAAGACCTTTGACTGTGACCAAAGATAGACCATATTGTACTGGTGAGGCCAGCCAGGAAGGTTTCCAAGGGAGTTCTGTGTTAAAAGCAGGATTCTAGTTTTAAGGCAGCAATAATCATGCAGATTTATATTCTTTATGTGGTAGTAAATAAATGAAATAGGAAGGGATGAGATAGCTGGCAGTTATAGTCATTGTTTTCTTAGATTATTTTATCTAGAAATGAAAATTATTATACTCCTATAATAGGCTTTCTATTGTTTTCCTTCTCATATTAGCTATGTAGTACCAGCCCCTTAAGAATTGAGAGTCCTTGGAACACCTGGTGTACCACTCCATTAGGATACATGCACGGAATAAAGACAAGTACAACAGACATTCAAACACCACAAAAAATCTTTTATTGCAGTGAGAATAATAAAAAAACTAGCAAAGAGAATCAAAAAGCTAAAATAGAATACAGAATAACTACTTTATCGGTTGGCATTAAAACAATACTGTGAACAACATTTAATACAGTATTAACTAGTAAAAAGGGAACTAAAGGGATACCAAAAAAGGATATTAAAGCAATACTACGGATAACTTTTAATACAATATTAATTAGTAAAAAGAGGAATTAAAGGGAAATACTATGGACAACTTTTAATACAGTATTAACTAATAAAAGGGGAATTAAAGGGACACTAAAGGGATATTAAAACATTTACTTTCTCGGTTGCTTCATATCAATAAACTGTGCTTACCCACACAGACAGGCCAGGGCTACTAGGATCTGCAGCAGCTGGTCGGTACCCATGCTTGGCGGCTGTCCCCGCAGAGCAACACAGTCTTGATGGAAGAGTGAGTGTCGCTCAACTCAGCAGTCCTGACACCCCATTTTTATCAGCTCTACATTACACTACGTAGGGCCAGTACGTAGTATAAGGTGATGCTTAAGTGGCAGCCAAACACCGCCTATTCATTACCTAATAGCAACAGTCTGCACGTGCCCTACTGTAGGGCAAGGGGCGAACGACCCATGCCCACATAATCTTCCTCTCACCATCATCTTTCTCACCCCTATGTATGACCTCTACCATTTTGTTACGAGGGTATTTGTGTCCATCTTGCAGTATGTAGCAAAGCCAAGGAGGAACTCAGCTCTGATAATAGGGGATATCAAGTTGACTTGCTAAAAAACACAATGGACCTTACAGTTAACTTGTGCCATAAAGTTACACTGTACAATACTCTGGCTGGTTTCACATCCTAATATAATTTCTTTCTGACGCCTCTATGCTCCATTGATCATCTAATTCAAAAGTATCTCCCTTATACCTGGTCAAAAAATTAGACAAGACTTGACCTAAATTGGGATAAAAGTATATAGTGGTTAGTGAAAATATGACCAAGAAGAGCAGCAATCTTCTTGTAGATTGAATGAGGCTATGAAAGCAGGAAGCAATCGCCTGACCACTTGATGTACTTGTATTCTCTCTGAGATTTGTAGAAGGTGCATATGTAGTTTTATTTGTTTTTTACTATATTTACATATTCATATAGTAAAACCTCTGGAGGTTTTCCTGATATGTCCACCTATTGTGGGCTAGTCCTTTTGGTGATGATTTTGTAGGGTTGCTTCAGGAGAAGACTCAGAGGTCACTCAGAAAGAGGTGATCTAGTAGTTAATTTGTTGAGTTCTATTCAGTAAATTTAGGTACGGAAGATATTTAATAGGTACGGAAGATATTTAATAGGTACAGGTGAATTGGCAGTCAATACTGCTTACTGTAATTACTGTTAGTATGACATTAAAAGTTTATTATTTAAGCTTAGCTAAACATACCTTAAATATTCTATGCATGCAAAAATTGTCCCTTATCAGCCCACTGATATCTAGTGTCAGGTAAGGGACCACTCAGCCTCAATGGGTAGCCTTGAGAGGTGCCCCTATTCTAGGGGAGATACTATGGAAGGAGAGCTCAACGTACCCTGATGGCTGCAAATATTTATATTGTGAAGCAGTTGATTTGTAGTTCTGCTGTCAGATTTTTCATGCAGTTTTGGCCAGTTATCAGCCCGGTCTCTAGCCAAACCTTTTGGAGGTGTTGGTGCTCAGATCCCACTGATAGCCTCCCACAATAGGATTAAGTTAGGTTAGTTCTACATGCTAAGCATTGCTTTGGACCAAATTCCATTAGTTCAAATGGGAGAAGTGCCTCCGTTACAAGGGTGAAAGGAGCAAACCTACTGATACGAAGTGAGGTTGTACAAACCTGGCCATGAGCAACCTCAAGGCCCTTGCTATACAACTGTAAAGGTGCAAAACATGTCAGAAGACAGTGAAAATACCCATATGCCTACATCTTTATTTCTCCTGAAACTTTGCCTTGTCAAAAATTTCCATTTCAAGATCCCTCATAACTTAGTTTACCCTTGCTTGTGGCTAGAAGAAAGATAGTCTTTTCCTTGCTACCATCTCTATCCCCTTTCCCTGGCTTTGATTACCTCAGCTTACAATCTCTGGACAACCTCTGACCCCCTTCAAAGACCTTCCTGCCTTCTCTTGACAAGCTTACAGCTTTGCTGTTCTCTAGTGCTTGAGAACCTCTGTGGTATCTTTTTTTCTCAACATTATCAACTGTATTGGAAAAAATAGCTCTGTTTCTTTTTACAAAGTGTTGGTCTGTTCGTGTGGCTGAGATTCTTGTTTGTTCGCTTGGCTTTCTTCCTTTCCTACTTACTTCCTCTTTAGCAACCTTTCACTGTCTCATTTTACAACAGAAAGGCCTCACAAACAAACCTGTGGGGTCTCTAATACAACTTTCAGCCATTTTAGAAAATAAGTATGACTCGGTCTGAATCTTTATAAATAAGCACAGATTCACTTTCTGGGGAAGAATCCATGGCATTAAATTGTCTGAAAGACAGGATGAAGCCTGAAACCTCTGGATTTAAGTGCTACATGTTTTGAAAAAGTACTTAACTAGGTACTGCATCAGCTACAATTCTGGTCTCTTATATTTTCAACTGCGGAGAAGAGGCAAATGTTACAAACGTTACAAACAAATCATAATTTTGAGGGTTTTTTCTTTTTATAATGATATAACTAGAACATTGTATGATACTAAGTCAATTACAGGATTAGGGAATATTATTTTAAATACTTAATAAGGGAAAAGCATACTGAATTACTTATGAATAAATTTGTAAGTTTAAATCTGTGCATACACCTATAGGTGTTTAGTTTTAATATGAACTTCTTTATTTTTTCTACATTCAAAGCTCCCTTTGAATGATATATAAAGCAGAGATAATAACATACTCTTGAAGTAAAAATAAAGCAATAACTTGCTTTATTTTACTTTCTTTTAAGTGTAAGAAAATTGACCCTTTAACGCAGTAATTGCATCACTTCGTTTCAAGTTCTTTCGAACCCTGTGGCCTCTGAATATGTTTCTCCAGATTATTATTCTTTTAGATCTTTCGGATTGCAGTAAAATTGCTGCAGCAAAAATGAGCAACATAATCTTAAGAGTTTTTCCAATGACAAGCCTGCTTCAAACTGATTGTTTTATATCTCCTTTGGGCTTCCATGCTGTTATTCCCTTTTTTCTTTCTCTCACATTTGTATTTTTCGATAATTAAGCAACTTATGTCACCTCTTCAGCTATGTGCACAGCATTAACACCTTTGGAAATCAAAATGCAGAAGTCCCATACCATTCAAAGGCAGGCAAACAGAACTGACAAGGGAAGTGGACAAACACATCCATAAATGTAAGTGAAACAACAGTTTTGAATACTTTAGAACTTGTTGCAGCATGCATGAGTGATTACAAATTTTCCCCCTTCCTACAGTAATTAAAACACTTGATGGGTTTTTACTGTTTTGTGGTATGATTAAAGTGGGGAGTTGACAATGGGTTTTGCTTACAGCACAGAGACACTCAAAAGCATCATTTGTGAGGGACTTTCATTTACTCTAATGCATCTTAGCTCCATAACTTTCATATGCCTTAATACACAGCTTCCAGAATTAATGATAGGACACAAAAGACTTTCACTTCTGAATCACTGGGCTGAGCTAGCACAAGTTTAGCTTGAGTAAAGGACGTCTGTACATATTGACCCATGCATAAAATAAGATTCTGGTATTAATTTAGTTCCTAGTGGATGTGTCCCCATAGGACAATACAAACTAATACAATTGATAATAATTCATAGTGTTTAAAGATCTCACTTCAGATTCTGGATCCATGAGGAATAATGGCCATACACTAAAACACATGAGGAAAAACTTTTCCTCAATGTGAGGAAAAACTTCTTTACATTGAGGATGGCAGAGGACTGGAACGGGCTGCCCAGGGAGGTCATGGAGTCTCCTTCTCTGGAGACAGTCCAAACTCACCTAAGCTAGTTTCTGTGTCACCTGTTCCAGGTGACCCTGCCTTGGCAGGGGGATTGGACTGGATGATCGCCAGAGAGCCCTTCCAACCCTAATAATTCTGTGGTTCCATAATTCTGTAACTGGGCATAGCACAGGTAAATTCTTAGAAAATAGATGAAAGGCTTTGACTACGTTGCATTATATTTTGAAGCTTAACCAGCCTCGAAAGTGAAAGCAAATCACATACGACAAGTCCGCATGACAGAAATGTTTATAAGCATCCTGATAGAATGGTTTCACAAAAATACAGCTGAAGTTACCAGTCACTTGTAAACTGTTACAATTGTCAGTTGCTTCATATATATAGCTATGCAAAACCAGTTATATATTGGGACTTTGTGATTAAAAAGTGGATTAAGTAAGAGAATATAAACATATACCAGTTGATTTAAATCAGCAAAACAAGCCAGTAATGAATGCTTTTTGGATCAACTGCAATAAAATAGTTAATTCTGAAAGACAATCTGAAATGGACTTTAATGTTTGGATCAGACACAGAGAAAAGTTACAACTCTTGAATGGAGAAAGTGGAAGTGAAGGTTTTTTGCTAATAAAAGTGTAGGAAAAAATAATAGTGAAGAATCAGACTAGGAGAAGAAACAAGACAGAGAGAGGCAAAGTGTTTGTCCAGAAGTACTCAATAATCTAATGATGAAGCTAATTCATCAAGCTAACAATCTGACACTGTCATACAAAAGGCTGTGGTTCTTATTATTATGTCCTTAATCTATTTATTAGCAAAAGGCAAGAGTGACAGAAAGCTTAGGTTCAATCATTCAATAGCTTTACTATTGGTGTTTTCCATCTTGTCAGGATTTTGTAAGATGTGTTTGTCATTGTCATTCCTTGAAGAAAGAACTATTTATTACTTTCTGCTTGCAACTTTTCAGGTTCAGTTAGTTAGCTCTATTTCAAAAAACAGTATTTCAAAGTCTACTAGTGGAAATATTCATGATTATTTGAGATGGGCAAACAAGGACTTGTCACTGTTTACCTATTTTCTCATATGGGCACTTGAACCACAGCCATAAGGCTTTGTTTTAACATATTGTCTTAACTAGAAAAGTCCTTTGATTCCGTCTCAAACATGAGCCTTTAGTATTACTTTGTAATAACTTCTGAGTGAGGTTTTCAAAGAAAGCATTGTTTAATACTACCCGGCAGCTCAAGCTTTACTTCAGGTGTCCTTGGAACTGCTTGATATATATTGATGTGGTGTGCTTCCATTTTCTTCTTTAGTCTGATTCATTGAATTGGATCTTTATAGGAGAAGGTTTGCTGAAGTCACTGATCACTGTCAAGTCTTTGCTTTGGTCACTAGATTCTAATGTAAACAGTCATTAATATCTTTGC